CACAATCCAGACCAGGTTAGTCCATTATACGTTAGAAGTATATCATGTAAGGGCTGCACACACACACACATACACACATACACACACATATACAAACACACACACACACAGTGGTGCTTTATTAAAATGTAAATGACATTTGTGTTACATATTCATGAGGCCTGATGTGAAGGACATCAGCAGTGTGATCTACAGACTGACACACACACACACACACACACACACACAGATGAAATCACCTATAGGTTGCATGGTCAGCATTCATGTGCTGACCATGCAACCATGTGCTGTGTGCGTGTGTGTGTTTGTGTGTGTGTGTGTGTGTGTGTGTGTGAGAGTAAATGTGAGGTGTGTAATGAATAATGAATTCAGGTGAATTTAGGTCACGCAGCCAACTGGGAGACAAACGGAATAGCTCTGTCTGCCCTCGTCTTCATGTGTGTGTGCATGTGTGTATGTGTGCATGTGTATATGTGCATGTGTGTATATGTGCATGTGTGTATATGTACATGTGTGTATATGTGTGTGTGCGCGTGCACTGAGGGGGAAGTTTCCTTTGCTTAATCTCTCCATCCACACTTCACAATTCTTCTTTTCCTGCAGATCGGAATCTATCAATGAATTAATTTCTCGCTCTGTCGCGTTCTCTATCCGTCCACCTGCCCGCCCCCCCCCCGCCTTCACTCAGTGATCCCCCCACCCCCCTCCTCCCCCTCTGGCCTCCCAATAGACCGTCCCAACCTGCACCTGCCCTGCCTCCCCTCAGTCCTCCCTGTAGGCTGGCTGGTCCACCTGCCCCCCCCCTTAAAGCCCCTCAGGTGCTGTGGGACGGCTCTGGAGGACAGAGGGAGGAAACTGGTGCGGTATGTTTAACGTTAAGTGGTACAGAACAGAAATATGACGCTGCAGGCTCTGAACTCTAACGTGAGCTTTACAGCGTGTATCACACGGTGCATGATGCTTCTTTATGACAACAAACTCCACGCACACTTTCAACCTGAGGTCCAGTCCTCTGAGCCGCACAAAACACACACTCAGCATCGTTTCATCAGCTGACTTTTACTAACTTTTAAAACACGCTGACGTCTTTCAGAAAATATCAATATGTGTTGCTGTATGTTTAAATACAACAGATGTTCATCTGTCATTTGTGACTCCAAACATACACGTTACTATAATAATAATAACACTACATGATTATCGTGGCCAAGGGAACTCATGATAACAATATTATCACGATATCTTTGTTAGCTTTGAGAAATAAAAAATAATAATACCATCAGTCAAATTCATCTATAACTTAGTTTATTTTTAATAATTTTGTCTTTTTTTTGGCAAATGAATTACACTCAAAATACAAGTGTGTTATGTAATTAAACAAAAGTGTTACTAAAGATACGTTGTATTAATTGTACGA